GATTAGCAGCTTGGAGAAAAGATAATCTAGTGGGGAGATATGTATATGGTATCAGAAAATTATATAAAACCAGTTATTATGAAATAATGAATAAACAGAAGCACATGTTATGAGGATGAAGAAGGGATGATTCAGGTGGGAGATGTCAGAAGGGTTTGGAAAAGTATAATTTTGGTATAAGAAAGTGAGGAATTTCAACACCCCAAATTTGCAGATTTGAATAAGAGACTGACTGTTAATGAAGCATTCAAGGAACCTGACACATTGTACAGTATTGGGGGTAGGGTTAGAAAATGAAGCTGCAGAGGTGTGTTGGAATTAAACCACAAAGACTATCATTCTTAGAGTATGGACTTTTCCCAACAATTAGTGGCAAATAACTGAAGGCTTTTGAAATTAATTAATTTGATAATCTGTACCGTTTCAGTGAGAAGGGTATCTTCAATTTTATAGATAATTTTATCCTTCACTTTGCTATACATACTGAGGCAACTCAGTAGTACCTGGAAATTCAGCCCTATTTTTTTTTCAAGTAATTAACTCCCCTCCCACACTTTGTAATGCAATAATTTTATTTCAGCTCCTCGAGAGAGCATTGGAGTGGAGGGAGGGCTTGCATTCAGTACAGCCAAGAAAGTCCTCGTGAGAACAGGGACACCTCTTGAAAATGTGTAATAATGAAGAAGTAAATAGTCTAAAATGAATTTGGACTTCAGTGTGATATTTTGATCCGAGGTTAAAAGCTGATTAAGGTCTTCATGAACTTGAACTTGAATCCGTGCGGTAAATTATCAAGGGTGTAATTGGAGTCACATCCTTCCTAGGTCTGTGGGGAAATTCCCATTACCATTGACGAGAATTGTGTATAAAGATCATGGGAAGAGCATGGCCCTTGAGTTTCCTCCTCAACAGCCTGTAGGATTTGTTGTGATTACTTTAGTGCACTGGTCCTTGGAGACACAAATTTCAGATCGGCCTCTACCTTCTACATGCTCAAAATAACAAAATTTGGGGGTGGGAGCCCTGGGAGATGTAGATATCTTTTCATTCTTCCTTCTTTATCTATGAATGATTTATTGTCAAAGAGGAAATTTTTGCTCCATGAACCCCAAATCATTTAACAACAGCAGCATAATTCCAACTATTGGAGGGAGAAAATGCTGTCTCATGTCACTAAGTGGACAACTTCTTCTCTGGGAGTTAGACTTTCTTTGAGAACTAAGGGCATTTCCTTAAGTCACTGGGACATCATGGGTTCTGAGACACTTGCATGTGTCAGAACACTTGGCCAGGAATGTTTAGAAATATCTGTGGGCATGGGTAACAGGATTTTCCCTCACAGAGAGTCTTGAGCTAAGTGGCAAATAACAGGGAATTGTGTACTAGATCTGTGGGATTGGGGCAAAGTAGGACAGGGAAAGATGACAGTTCAAAGGATAGTCATGTTCCATTTTCTTACCCAGCTCTCAGCAAAGCCAACTGCACAATAGTTCTGTTCCCAACACCCACCATCTTCTCATGCCTGCTCAGTAACCAAGGGTAGGTTTTGATTTGGATTTTGAGATTTAAATGACTTTTCTTCTATTCTGGCATATAATACAGCTTTTCTCACCCAGTCCTTTCTATCTCTGCTTACTTGGGTGTAGAATCAGCCCAGCCCTTGGCTATATCAATTTCTGATCCTCCTTCAAGAGAATAAACACGCCTGGCTATTTTTGCCAGATGGTCAATGTGAGACAAGGCAGATGTTTCATATATATCACTAAGTGAATAAATAAATGATAGACATGCGGAGCCAGAAATCTCCTCTGTATGCAAAACGTTTTCCTCTATACAGTGTAGTATGTCACACATGACAATATTTGGAAAGAGGCAAGTGCCAGGTGTCAAAGAATTAGGAAAAGTAACTGAGAGCGGGCAGTTATAGCCTCTGCTACAGAGTTTAGATCAGATTCATGTTACAAAGGCCTTTTATCTCTGTCCTAGAGATTAAATGTAATGAACTAGTCATTTAATAAGAAAACAATTTATTTCTAGGCAGTCCTTTATTTCAAGAATTTGCCCTGGAAGAATGAATTAAACTCTTTAAAGCCCTTGATACATGCCAATTCACTTAATCGTCACAATAACTCGTGAGGTAGATACTATTATCATTTTGTTTTTATATATGGGGAGACAGAGGCACAAGGACATTAATTTTGTCAAATCCACAGATGCTAAATGTCAAAATTTAAATTTAAACCTATAGAGTCTATTTTCTTAACCACTGTACTGTATTGCCACATAAAATGACCTAGATCAGAGACCTAAATGATGACAGGAGAGGACCTTGGGGTTTTCTGGAAGAAATGCCCCAGGTAGAAGCAAATCTATGATACAGGAGAAGTACTTCTGTTTCTATTTCAAGGATCAAAAGCTCCACTGTAGTAAAGTGTGGGAATGACTAGGAGAAAAGGGGAGTGGGGGTTACAATAAAATGCAGTCACTATTGGCTGAGGTAAGGATTTTGGTTTTCATTTGTGAAGAACGAAAAACCATAGTTTAAAGAAAAGGCATGGTATAATGTGATTTGTGATTTAAAAGACTATTGTGGCTACAGTGAGAAGACTGTGGTGAAAGAAGAGAAACTAAACGTGGGATATAAAGTTACATTTAAATTCAACATATAAGTAACAATCATATATAAAAACAAATGTGTGTGCATACTTATATATATATATATAGAGAGAGAAACATGCACATACATGGTCTTCTCATTTTCTAAAACTAAATTATATAGTTCTCAAATCGTTTACCTAGTGAAATAAACATAATTTACCAAAATAGACTGTAATATTATTTTAATTTTCTAAAATATTTGTGGATTTTTAGAAGTTGGTGATGTGATCTTGTTGGATGTGACTATCACTACCTAAATTTTGTCCCCATGTGAGTCATGACTTAACCTAGGGAGCCCCATTAAACCTTTCTATTGACTTTTGCATTAGGCTGATGGTCATCAGGTTCTTGGTGCCCCACTGGCAGGTGTGTGTGTGGGGGGACTGCCCATATTCCACAGCTGGCTTTGGCCCTGATGCCAGGACATTCTCTACCACCTGGATTCAGGAATCTTATATCTCAGCCCCATTGACAATGTCCAATATTTCCTGCCCTGCAGTGGGATCACCTTATGTGGTTGGGCCGCTGCTGAGGAGTGGATGGGCACTATGCATTCTTATTGCTAGTGCAACAGCTGCTTTCTAGATCTGCTCAACCACCAGGGGATGGGGAGGCAGCACCTGCGTCTGCTCCAGAATTGCTAGGAAGTCTGATAGCCACTTCTTTTGTGGCTGTAGGTCTGGATCTTTTTGAAATAGATGTTCTTTAGCAACTTATATGGAACTCTTTCAATATTCTAAGAATGATATAGCTGAATTCATATTATATACTGGGGCATAAGTAACCCTGCTTGGACCAAGAAGGAAGTGGTAGATGGCATTGATCTATTCTGAAAATATATTGAAAGCAGAGCTAAGATTTGCTAATGAATGGTATACAAGGTGTCCAATGTGATTCTTAAGTGTTGGCCTGAGTGATTAGGAGAAAGACAGGGGGAGGGCACAGTTTTGTGAGTAGAAATGAAGCATTGGGTTTTACACACAAACAAATTCAAATGCTTTTAGGTATCCTAGCAGAGTTTCAAGTATGTTTGGCCTATAGATTTAGTTAACAGAACTTTTTCAGGTATGATCAGGTGAATACTCTGATAAATGTTTCCCATTCACCTGGTTAGAATCTCAAGTCTTTTGTTTAAGAAAAAATTTGGACATACTCATGATTACCTGTCTGGTTCCATATTCATAAATGAAATGAAATAATTTCAACTCAAAACTCTGTGTAAAAGCCTACATAATAGCTCAGCTTTCAGATACAGCTACATGAGTTACAAGACTAAATCATACATGTCTTATTAACCCAGCACTTTTCTCTTCTCACTCCTTCCATGAAGAAGCAGGAGCTAAGGATGATCATATCAAGCTTCCATAGAAAATCTCACTTTATCAAATGAGATAGACTAAGGATGAAGAAGGCAAACTTTGATAGAAAATCTTCTTTTAACAAATGAGATTGTGGTAAATCTATGTACACCAGACCTGAATTCAGATATTGCTGGAAAGGAAGTATTGTTTTAGATCTGAGGTGGGAGATTCAAAGAAAAATACCTTACAGGATTTCCACGTCCGGCTCAGAAAGAAAAACCAAGAGAACATTTAAAAACTCAAAATGATATAAAACCCAACAAAAACCACAGTTCTCTTGGACCAAGAGATCCAAGGAAAGAATCTCAGGAGAGTGTCATTACTATTAAGACATCTTTCTATCCTCTGAAAATGCTTTTTTTGAGGTGATTTTGTGAAAGAGGAATACAAAACTACAGAGAGTACAAGGAAAATATTTTAATAAAATATTTAATGCAGTATTTTTCTGTGGGGGGCTGGTAAGAAGTGGGAAGCTGAAGGAAATGACTGTCACTATTTGGAAATCCAGTCCTACTTGAGACAGGAGTCAGCTTTTCCTCAGATCCCTTGCCCAGTTCTGCCCAACAGGCCGTCAGGAGAATCAGGAAATCTCCCGGAGTCATTTTGAAGACCTGGATTGCTCATAGACATACAGACCTAAGAAACTTGCTTTAGGTTTCTTACCAGATACAGTATCATGAAGAAAGGAGAACATTAGAATACAAATGGTATTTAACATGATTTTGGTTTTTTTTTCCCCTCCTATTTCATTTACATTCCCAGAGCGAACAATAGAAACAGAGACATTTGTTTTCACGAACTAAGCATTTCAAACAGACTCATTCCTTGGCCAAATTTTATATTCAAGGTCCATAACTATTAACGGAGTTCTTGTGTTTCATACCAAGAGAAATGAGGGCAGACCACTTTCTGTGCATAACTTGAGTCTACTGCTGCAGATTCTGCATGTGTGAAACAGTGTAAGCCACAAGTCCTCTGTGTTGTGTTGTTTATTAATACAGAAAGTGCAATTTCTTGAATAAGAAAATCTTTTAGTGCATTAAAACGTAAGCCACGTCATTGTGCTATAGCTCTGGTTTAGTGTGACAGGGCATCTGACACTCACAGTAAAACTCCTGTCATGAGGTTGCCCTGCTGTCATGATTCTGATGTGTTCTGATTTCCTTCTGGAGTCATAAACTGCACCTTTGGCACAATGAGGGAAGAATTGTTCCTTCGAATGGAGTTGCTCCTTCTCATGGAATTGTTTCTCCTCATGGAATTACGCTTCCTCAGAGAGTTTTGATGGGACAGTTCACTCTTTTGGAGGGTCTGAATGAGGATGGAAGGCTTCTCATCCAGTTCCCGGGCACTGCACCGTGGAGCTGCCACCTTAACAGTGTTGCCAAACTTGGAGTAATCCACAGAATACACTCCTTCCTCCTCAGTCACAATGGACACAAAGCGGTGGCCCCACTGGATCTCCTCTGCTATGTAGGAGGTTCGCGCTTGCGTGGTGATGCCGGTTGTTTCGACCACTCCTTCTAGAATAACAATGACCTCCAGGTCCTGGTTGACAAGGTCAGTTGCTGAGATATCATACAGCGGACTGCGCTTATCAATCACATGGCAGATGATCAAAGGGGCCACCAGGAAGATGTTATTACTCTCGATAGGGTTATCAACAGGTATGTCCAGTTGGTGAATGGGTACCACCTCCCCTTCAGGTGTAGTTGTTTTCTTGACCACCTGGATGCGCACTGAGGCACTAATGATCATGCTCTTCCTCAGGTCGCCCACTCGGAACATGAAGCACAGCTTACCATTTCGGACAGCAATCACAGCATGGCGGCTGAAAATCAAAGTCTCTGCCCTTCTGTGAGCCTGAGCTGTCTTCATGAAAATGCAGCCTAACATGACGGCATTGATGATCAAACCCACAATGTTTTGGAGAATCAAAACGGTGATGGCCAGAGGGCATTCCTCTGTCATCATCCTCCCTCCAAATCCAATTGTCACTTGAACCTCAATGGAGAAGAGAAAAGCAGAGGTGAATGACCTGCAAGGGATGATATCAGAAGAAAATGCCATCAGGTCAAAGTTTGAATAATATCCCTACCTGAACATTTTTTTTAGACCCTAAAGGCTATTAAAAGTTTTTAGAAAGAGTAGCCATCTTTACTTGTCAAATGCTTAATTTTAAAAACAAGACTGCTCTCTCTCTCTCATCTCTCTCTTGCATCTATTTATGCATATACCTCTATACTTCTGTTGTCTAGGACATGTGCCTGTATGAAAGCATTAATACAATAAATATATACAATAAATATCAATTATATTATAGGCATATTTTACTTTGTGAAATGCTTTACTATCAAAAAAGCTTAGTTTGCTTGATGAAACTTTCTACCAGGTAGAAGTTTTTTTGTTTTTATTTTTGGTACCAAGGATTGAACTGAGGGGTGCTTATCCATTAAGCCACATCCCTAGCCCTTTTTATCTTTTATTTTGAGACAGAGTCTTACTAAGTTTCTTAAGGCCTTGCTAGGTTGCTGAGGCTGGCTTTGAACTTGCAATCCTCCTGACTCAGCCTCCCAGCCACTAGGATTATAGGCATGTGTACCATGCCCAGCAGAAGTTTATTATTTATTGCATATCCATGTTTAAGAGAGACTTGAGTCATATGGAAGGTACCAAGTAATAAGTAAACTTTTTATTATTTATAACACTTAAAATCATAATTGTAAGCTAACACATATTGTGTACCTTATATAGAGAAAACACTGTGCTAAAGAAGCCACGCAAAGTATATTCCAAAATACTAGCTTTTTTTAAAAATAGAAAACATTTCCCTACTTTAAAAGAAAACTGTTCCTTATTGGCTATCCCTGGAAGTGATCTAGGGAATATTGAAGGTATTAAAGGAAGAATTTGAGTCTGAGGTTAGTAAATGACTATGTGAAGATTATGTGATCAATGCAAACTTGAATCCTCTCAATTCTGGCCCAATTCTGTTCTGAAAGGAGAAAAAGGAAGAGGCCAACAAGTGTCAGAATTTCCTTGAGAAGCTTTTTCAAATTGTTCATTTCCTCCACATCTTAGTGAATAGACGTGGATTTGACAGGCTCAGCATAGACCTGAGTAAGACGGAAAAACTCTCAGGTGATTCTGATTTATTTACCAACCCCTTTCCCCCATTGAGAAGCACCATATTTAGTTATTATTAATTTACTTCACTACATATCCAATATTGCCATAACCTCTTCATGGGAACAACAGTTCTATTTTTGCAACCCACCCCAACTTTAAACTTTTCTAATTTTATTAGAAGACTAGCCATACATCAGCCATCTGTCAAGGTATTATCTATCAATGCCAGGCACAGTGAATGAGCAAAAGGTTTGAGTACTTAGTATACACTGTGTATTTTGGCAGGAAACCAGGAGAGGTAAGTAATTATACAGAAATTGATTAGCTTTTAAATGGAGTGTGAAATTTGCTCTTTTTTTCTTTGTTGTTTCTAAGAGGATTCATAGAAAACTATAATAATTGTCTATTGCACTAGCTACATACCACAAGATATACAGTGTAGTCCAAAAATATGGCAAAGAATAGAAATGGACCCCAAAGGAGAGGTGTGGATACAATATTGATTATTAACAATGGTCCATGCTTCAGGAAGCAGTCTAATGATGAATATCCCTAAATGTCCTATTTTAATACAAACTATTCATGGACCTTGTTTTCATATTGTTTATTTTATGAAAAAAATTTAATTTTAAACAAATGTATGGTACAAGACCCAATCTTTTGTGGACATCTGTCATGCTAAACAGTCCCAAGAGATGAAAGCAGTTGGTTGCTTCTTTGTTCTCTACAGAGAGAGTTAGACTGAATAATAATAATAAAGAAGATAAATTTTCTATTTTAGACTCATTAGAAAGTCATCTACATGAAGAAGAAAGTGGGTAATCCTAAAATGAGAATGGTCAAATGGTGTTTGGAAATACTGGTGAATATCCATTGAAAAAAGTTTGAATTTTGATGATATGGCTGAACACTGAACTTATGAAAGGAAAGGAAATTCAAACAATTAAATTATTATTAGTCATCTTTTAAGTTCCATGCAGGAGAGAATAAATATTTTTCTATTTTTAATGAAATAAAATGTAATGTATGGTTAGTTATGATTAAACTGTTGAGGTAAAAGCATAAATAGTAACATAACATTAACATCAGTAAGAACAGAAACAATGTCAAATAATTCAGGTGGAAAAACTGCTAAGATAGCAACTAATTTCCTTCTAAGGTGTTCAAAATTTAAATTTTGAATGTTAAAAAAAAGCCAAATAATTTAAAGTAAGAAATATAAATGTCATTTAAAATGCAAACCTTGTTGGGTTGATAAAATTAACTTTGCTCTATTGAATTTTTTGACATGTTTCTCATAGTTCACACCAACAGGAATGCACCAAGAAAATGAACATTCTTCAGAACAACTTACTTGAAAATTAGAATGCAGCAGAGAACAGTTTCAATAATCAGTGCACTCTGTAAAATTCTTTTAATGATAGTTCTTTTGATAATATTTCTTTTTAAAGATTACTAAATTACATCTTTTTAATAGAAAAAGACAATATGTTTTTCTTGTGAGTAAAATCTGTCATATATTTTCAAGGTTTATCATTATTTATTTTATTTAGTTCCTACTTCATATTTATCAAATTCATTTTGATATGAAATGATTCACCAATATCAGTGCCAATAAGTTTCTTAAAGAGAGATGCAATATTACAGATGGTATTTCATCTTCAAATACCTGTTGAACACAAAATTTTGTGTCCTTTACATCTAGTGTACTGATGATCACCTGTTTTTCACCCATATTTTCTTTGAGGCAAAAGTTTGTGACAAGTTTGAGAAAAGAAAATAATATCTACACAATGGTAAAAGCAGAGGATCAATTAAATACAGTGTTCCCTCCTCAAAATCTGAGATGAAATCTGTGAAGTGCAATCTCAAAGCTAATGCTGCATTTCTCTTTAAATGGCTGACACTGCAGCTAATTAACAAATGGAAGAATGGACAAGTCCATAGTCTGGGGGTTTGCTTCTTGGAGTAGTATACCAGTTTCATAAGATTTCAGGGTCACTAAAGATCTTTATACTTTCCTGGCAATATGGTACTTGTTCAAGTTTCTTTGCTTTGTGTATTATGTGAATTTGGAACATTATTCAGAAAATGTTCTAGAAATTTTTGCAGTAGTATTATATTTCAGTTCAGAGTGAACATTTTTTGAATCACTATGAATTATGTATTTTCATCTTCCAATAAAATAAATTAAGAAAAAAATCACTCAAACTAAATAGTTTTCAACCATGTGAAAGTAAGAGAGGAGAACCTTGAATATTAAATGTACTCTACCTGTCTTTGAAATACTTATAAGAAGTCAAAGCTAGGTAATTTAAGAACTGTCTTGTGTCTGTTCTATTAGAACTTTGAAAAAGGACTGAAATACTAAATTGTTCTTATGTAATTCCTTCCATAAAAATTTTGGACCAATTTCCATTAAAATTTAGTATTTTCTAGTCCTGAATCTTAGAATACCTTTTAATTTATGAATCCATTACAAGCAATTACCTATTTTAAGATAATCTTGATAAAGAGTAAAATAAATACAAATATTTATTTTATTTTTAGCATATTTTAAATTTTAAGATATTTCTTCCTTTTCCCCAGTGACTTCCTCTTAATTTCTGAATGTTACGAATAAGAAAAGTCATGGAAAGACACTACTTACATTTGCACATTACTTTTGGTTGATGGAGATTAACTTGTGGACCTTGAAACTATGGACAGTAGCTCGTTTATACTGAAAATGAAATGCATGCTTTTGGAGTAAGAAATCCTTTGATCTAAAACAGCTTTTAAATAACTAATACAATATTTTCAAGGTTAGCCCAAAGGATAGAAGCTCCACCTTTTCAGAGACTCTTTATACATAAGCTACAATCATGTATTTTTAACGTGTTAGTTTTTTTCTTTATTTTGTTTTCTTTTTTTTTTTTTTAATTTCTGAAGGGTCTAAAACTATTTCATTTTCAACAAATGAGAGAATGATAGAGAAAGGGCATTTTTACTTTTTTATTTATTTTTTTTTCTGTACAGCTTACAACTCCTGCCTCATCCCACTGCATTCTTACCTGACGTTAGTCACACACACAGCAGACTCCAAACCACTTTTCTCCATTCCACTCTTCTCCATGTAAGCGTAGATGTCCCCATGGGCAAAAGCCACCAACCACCACATGATAGCGAAGAGCAGCCAACTGCAGAGGAAGGACATTGTAAAGATGACCAGCGTGTGGCGCCATTTCAGGTCTACCAAGGTGGTGAAGATGTCCTGCAGGAAGCGCCCTTGCTCACGGATATTCTTGTGCGCCAGGTTGCAGGCCCCACTCTTAGCGATGAAGCGGGCTTTCGGGAGGCGGTCGCGGATGCGCGGCTTGCGCAGATTCTCCGCGGCGATGCGAGCCAACACATACTCCTCCGGGATGATGCTCTTTCTGGCCAACATCGTCCTGTCACCATACCCAGACTATCCACCTGCCTCTCCTTCCCTCCAGCCTGTCCTCCTGCACGAGGGAAACGTTGATTAAGACTTTTTAAATTTTCATTTTATTAGGTCGTTAGTCCTTGTATTCAGGGATATGTTTATACATGCAAAGGGATATGTGCGACTAAAGGCATGATTTTTAATAATACAAACACCAATCTAGCTTGTGCTTGGAGTTCTGGGATCCCAGAAAAAACTTTGGTCTGAATCAAGAGATTTGTTCTCATTTTTTTCTTTTCACTCTGAATATATATGGGCATCGCCTTATTTAAACAAAATCCGGAGCCTTCATGTAAATAGCAGGTTTAAAGATAATTCTCTGCGATTAACAGCGTCTGTAGATTAGTGCAAGGAAATATTCACCGGGCGTCAAAGACAAAAATTAAAAGCAGCTGGGTACAAGATCTACTTGTTAAAGTATTTAGATTAGTTAGCAATGTTTAAAGTAAAGAAGGGAAATTCTTCCTTCTTTGTTTTTAGAAGCAGGCAAAGAAAAGGCCACGGCTTCTTGCGCACGATGAATAGCAAGCTAAATGTAATCTGACAGAATAATAAGAGACGTGCTATAGAACTTGAATATTTTGAGGAATTATTTTAAAGTTGAAGAAATTTCAAGATGCATTTTTAAAAAAACAGCCAAAAAACTTTCCACGGAATTCATGGTATATTGAAAACTTCTTTACAACGAAGGGGTCAAACATACAAGGAAACCCCGGACAATAGCGTGAGGACTGCGATTAGAGTTAAAGGGAGTGTGCTCCGAAAAGTCCAAGCTGCACTGTAAGCCTCTGCCGCGTTCTGCATTTTAAATCATTTGCGGGGATGCGGAGGTCTCCCCCTCCCGTCCCCGAGAGGAGAGTTGAACTTACAGACTCGCCGCAGCAGCAGACAGCGCTGCTCAACCTCCCCGCACACGCTGACCGAACGCGGGCAGGTTCCTCGCTCTCGCATGCCGGCGCGCGGGAGCAGGGCTGCCCATGCCGCAGGGACGGATCCGAGGGATGCTTGTCCTCCCGAGAAGAGTTAAAATAATAAAAGGTGCAATTGAATCGAAACGCCAGGAGGTCCGGAGGAAGGGGGGTGGGTGTTGATCTTACCCTCCCCCCGGCTCAGCTCAACTCCCTCGGCCGCTGCAGTGGGCGGAGGAGCGCTGCCGCAGAGGCGCTAGATGGTGATACTCCACAAATCAGCCTTCCAGTTAGGGCTTTGACGCGCGCCAGACCTCAGAGGCCACGACTGTCGCAGAGATGGGGACCGGGTAGGGGGCTGGGAGTAGGGGCGAAGGCGAGTCCCCTGGAGGTAGGGAGCGGGCCAGGGGGAGGGACCACCCTGGAGGGCGGGACCCGCAGAACCAGCTCTTTTTCCAGTAGCGGCGACCCCCTGCCTCCAGTGGGAAACACAAGTCTTTAAAAGGCGCTCTGTCCAAGTTCACTGACGTAAAAAGATTTTTATTTTATTTTATTTTGTAACCTGGTTAGATCACTGGGCTACTTCAGAATGAATAAAACCAGATATAGAGATCAGGAAATATTCTTCCGAGGTGTTCAAGCTGTGTGCGCACACACTTATTTACCTTATATTTCCATCTAGAAGGAACGATACAGGTGGAACACATTCCGAAAGCCACCATAGTAGACTGTTTCTTTACAAGCTAAAGCCAATTCTTAAAGAATCACAGGCGCGCGCGCGCACACACACACACACACACACACACATACACACACACATATACACACACACCCAAAACAACAACCAAAGAAACAGAAAGAAAAATAGACAAAATGAAACCATCAACAGTCTTTTTCAATGAAGAAATTTTACCCCAAACAGGGACCGCTGTCAGCACTTCAGCACCAGAACAGTCTTTGGTCCTCGGTAATTGGTTGCTTTCTGAAATGTTGCAACTTCTCCCTGGCAATATGGTACTTCTCCCTCTTGTCCAGATTGTCTGGATGATAAAACAGAGCAATTGCGCACAAGAAAGATTATACAGTAAATATCTTTCTATAGCTTTTGAAAAGAAGCCAGAAGAGACAAATGTGCTTTCTCCCACAAGTCAATCCTCCTTATTTTGGCACTTGTGTTAATGGAAACTTTAATTCTTGGAAATTTCATGTGTTTTCCAAGACTCAGGGCTGAAAGTGCATGGAGCATAAACAATGTGTTCATTTAATTACCCAAAGACCTAAAATTAGTCTTTAATGAAGGCAAATGAAGAACAATTTTTTCCCCTTTATGGGCAGATATGCTTAACCCTTTCAAAGCTGGGGGTCCTGGTCTGTTAGTGGCAATTTTCCTTCCTACAATCATTAATTTTTGTAGTAGTTGATGTAGTTATTTTGTCACAAGTGTGCAGGAATCAATTTGTGTAGTCAATACTCTCCGTTGTTTGATTTTACAATTCAGTTTGCTTGTCAACTTATTATTTGCTCAACTTATTATCCATTATTTTAGCTTGGAGAACATTAAACATCTATTTTGTGAATTTAAAGAAATATAATAATACATATATGTCATATTTGCTCATCTTAAGAGGCAGATGATTGTAAAAGAGATAAGATATTGATAATAAACTCTTGATACAAACAAGGATGTGATTAAATTGGGAAAAGATCTATAACAAAGTGCCATGGGATTTGAAATAGGAGATGTTTAGGGCAAGGAGAAAAAGGACAACTTCATTATTATTTGGCATGTGATCTAGGCATATTTGGGGAATACTGAAAAGGACAAGGGACAGCATGAATGAAATCTTGGGGTATGGACAAAAGTGGACCATGTTGTAGTGACAGAAATGAATTTCTTCAGATTGATAAATGAGTCAGCCACACAGCAGGATGGGATGCCTGAGTCCAAGGCTCCCTGGGCAAGACTCTGTCACCACCCACTTTCAAAACATAATGAATTATTCATTTATTTGTCCTGTTCCCTCCACTCCTAGACCTCTTCACCCTATTAAACCTCTAGTACAGTTATAATTACAGAGATGCTCAATTTTTTTTTGAATCAATGAAAGAAAAACATAAGATCAAAAAGCATGTTGGACTCTTGGAAAAAAAATAATAATAACAGCCGAAGTGCTCAATGGAAGGAGACTGGACAGACTCCATATGTAGTAGTATCCAGTGAACTGGGGAAGAATTTGAATCAGAATGCAAAGTAGTAAGAGCCCATTTTAGTAGAACTGATCAAGAAGAAAGGATTGAAGTGTTGTCTTTCCAAGTGGAGTTCCAATCTTGGAGCCTCAACTTCTATGCCTGGCAGAAGGAAACACTGGAAACTATTATAATAATTAGAGAAGGAATGAGGCCTGGGGATGACAGATAATGTCAGTGGGTAATAACAATCTGATATCAACAAAAGGAATGGTATACAGAGTCAATGTAGGGAGAGGGAAAAGTCAGAGGCAATCATGTAAGATTATAAACATGTAAGATAGTAGAGATGGAGAAATGGTAAAAAAAAAATTTGGCACAATAAAAAGTGAACAGCAGAGGATTATGAGATTTGTAACAAATAAATCTGTATCTGAATCCTCTGAAAATTCTGTTCTCTTGCTATAGCACAGACACCTTTTTCCCCCAATGAGACATATACTTTTAAGCATTCCATTTTAAGTAAGTTTTGACTTGTTTTGACAAGTATAACAAGTTATGCTGTACTTTTTATTAATCAATAATAAAGATTGATTTTCATTCAAAATAAGCACACAAAATAAATGCCAAATTTAAGAAATTCATATGTAAGTTTTTGTTGATAATAGACCTAAAAATAGAGGCCTTTCAGAAAGAAAAAAAAAAATCTTTTTTCTTTTTATTTCCTACTGCCATTTTCCTTAAATAGTATATCTGTTTTTTCTTTAACCTGATTTTCTGCATTGGGTACATTGTTTATTGGTATCACCACAAGCCCAGGGTCTGGAATTGTTCAAAGCTCCTAGGAGTAGAACTCAATAATATTTGTCAAATGAAGGAAAGAAGGAACAGTGCTTAAAACATGGTATTACTTTCCTACATTTACTCTCTCATCTCTTCTCCCTTCATGGTTTCTGTTATGGGTTGGATATGAAACAACCCCAAAGGCTCATGTGGGAAGTCTTGGTTCCCAAGGCAAGAATGTTAAGAGGTGGGAATTTGGGGAAAGTGATTGGATCATGAGGGCTCTGACTTCATCAATGGATTATTACTCCATTAAGGGATTTTTAGCTGAATGGTCTATTCATGAGGTGGGACCTAGTTGGAGGGAGTGGGTTTTGTGGGTGTGCCCTTGGGACTATAGCCTTTCCCCCACCCATTCCTGTCTCTCTGCTTTAGGCTGCCATGAGCTAAACCCCTTTCTTTAGCCATTCCTTTCTACCTCAGTCCCAGAAACAATGGATCCGACTAAACATGGAATGAAACTTCTAAAAAACTGTGAGCTAAACTTAATCTTTTCTCCTTTAAGTTGTTTTTCTTGGGTTTTTTGTCACTGTGACAGAAATTGACTAACACTGTTTTTGCAATAAGTTCTTAGAACCCACATGAAAAATTTGACTTTTGGAGGTTTTGGATGTTTATGACTGTACCTGCCCACAAAGATTCTCTTATTCCTCACCTCTCCCTTCTTTCTTTACTTTGTCAATCTTTTCCCTTCAAACTATCCATTCTTCTCTTCATGAGCAACTTCCCTAATGACTCCAAGTCAGTAATACTAAATTTTTGCTTGGCATTTGCTGGTTATGTTACTCTTTACAACTTGATTTTTAGTTAATGGAAACATACTTCTGTTCCCACAGAGTCTTCCTGGACACACAGAGCTGCTCAATAAATGTTTATCATTAATTGACCCCTTCCTTGCCTCTTTTGATCTTCCTTTTCTTACATTATTGTCCAAATCATACATATTGCATCTTCCCTTGGTAAGAAATAGGCAAAGATAATCAATTAATTTTTCAAGAACACATTTACTACTTAGGTTTATTTATTTAATCATTATTTTGCTACCGCCACTAAAAGTTACGTGTGCTTTCCTAGCTAATTATTTTTCTAATTGTTCTTTCAAGGGTGAGGATTGATTTGTGCATGACTCCTAAAAAAGACAAGTAATAAGTTTAGAACAGAGATGACTTTGTTTAAATATTATGGGTGTTTTTTTTGTGTGTGTGTGGTTTTTGATTATTTGGGAATCATGATAGAATCTGTTCATGTTCCTTTCCAAAGAAATTTATTGACTGGGAAGCAATTCAAGGATATCAGTTCAATTGTAAATCAGCCTCTATCAGGTTCCTTTTAGACCCTATGAGGATTTTATTTGTGAGTAAAGAGATTTCTGAAATTCTCATATCCCCTAAGAAACAAGGGTTGTCGGGTGCTTTCGGGCCAGTGGAGAAAGTAATTAGGCCAATTTTCTCAGTTCTCTGTTGCTTTGATTACCAAATGCAAATCAGTGAAGTCTTTGAAATTACTCTTGAGATCAAGGGTGAAGTGTCTGTATTTGTTGACTTTGCCTTTGACTTGACTTTTGAACTCTCGGATTTTCTGAGCCATGTGAGACTTAAGAATTTGGACAGTCTTCCAAATGACAATGGAAATGATTCATATTATCAGTCCAAATGTTGGTTGGTCTATTTGCTTGGGATGCTGCATTTATTAGTGTCCTCATATAAACCACTTTGGAACATATTGCTTTGGAATCAGCTTAATAAAACTGTTACATAAACTAGTAATCAAAACAACATGTTATAAACTCACTTTTTTGGAGTTATCATGAATTGGGAATGATAGTATAACTCTTCCTAGTTATCTGTTCCAATAAGTTCAGAGAACATTGCTTATATTTATTCGCAAAAATGTATTTCTCTTCTTTAAATGCAGTTATCCCGTCTCTTCAAAGTTATCCATCAGAACTACTAAAGAAAAAGACCTCAATCTATGTTGCATACTCAGCTCAAACAGCTGACAGTTATGAATCAATAAGGTCTGAATGGGGGCCATTAGTAACAGTCACCCCTTTAACTTGCATTCAGGTGAATAAAGCAAAATGCCTTCTGCTACAAGACTTTTTTTTTTTTTTTAAAGCTGTTGACGAGCAGGTA